ATCCGTATGGGCAAATGAACTAACTTCTAAAATATTACTACTTTTCTAGATTTGTAGAAGGTATGGCCCCTGTATTCTCGAGATCAGCCTGGTATTGTGCTTGGCATCTTATACAGGTAGTTCTCCTAATCTAATTCACCATTTGAGAGCTACACCTTCTCTCTCTTCCTTCCACACACACCCTCATTTCATTTTAACACGTTAGTTCTTTCGTCCAGAATGATCTTGTCCATGGATGGGGAATGGATATGAAACTTGGCTATTGTGCACAGGTAAGGCTTCCATATATTCATCATTTCTTAGGTAATAGCTAACCTCACAACCCGATACAAACCTTTATCAGCTCATTGTTTCCAACTGGCATCGGAATTTTCTATCCTAGTTTCAAAATTACATGTGCTGATGGTAACTTGGATATCAAAATTGAAAATTTATGAGCAAAGGAAAGAACCAAACTCTGCCCTTTACTGATAATGAAGGCCCTTCTCTACTGGAATACTATACAAGCTTTTCCTGTTGTTTCACTGAGAAGGCTGACACTGCTTAAAATGAAACTGCCATCTCAGTTATAATTTCATCTTTCATTTTGAAATGTGCTTAAGTAACTTGTTCTGCAGGGTGATCGCACCAAGAAGGTGGGAGTAATTGATAGTCAGTATATTGTTCACAAGGGCATACAGACTTTGGGTGGAGGTGGAACCAAGGTAATTTGCATTGCTCACTTTTTTTTCCATTGTATGATTTGTATAGTCTGTATCACATCATTGGTGTTTTCGATGTGCTTAGTTTCACTCTTCCGCCATTAAATTTTCCTCTTCATTTGACAGTCTAGGCCTTCTTTGAAAGCTGCAGAGTACGCAAAGGTAACCATTGAAAATTTCTTTATGTCCGTGATGCTTGTCTATTGAAATCTTATTTAAATCTCGTACTTTTTTTTTGTTTGACTCAGAAACCTAGCCTGCCACCGGCTGATGTTCGAACAGAGGTTAGACTTTTCGCCCATCACTTTTCAGAGCCAAGATTACCTTCTCATTTCCAGTTCCAATACATACACAATCACTTTTTTATCACATATAATCGCTTATTTCGCCAATGGGGTTGGTTGCATTGTGTGCTGACCATATTGATCTTTATTTGTTCGAACTTGAACTCATTTAGTGTTGATACTTGATTTGAACTTGAGCAGATAAGGAGGCAATCGACATGGGAACTTCAAATCTTCAAAAATCGATGGAACAAAGCGGTAGCAGAGGACAAGAGTTGGGTCGATCCATTTAAAAAAAAAATCATTGAAAAATTGACCAAAGATGAAGAAGGAACATGAAAATGCGGCCGTCATTGATATTCAACAAGCAAGGATCCTATCTGAGCTTGATCTGGATCAGGGTTGTACTTCCTTTCGACACATGTTATCATTGTCATACTGCAATAGTTGTGGTAGTCCATCCTATTTTTTTCATTATTGAGCGTTCAGTTTTGCCCCCACAGAGATGTGTTTCCTTTTGTATGTACTCTGTGTAGCTTCCTCCCCCAGAGCAGAAGGAAGAAAGTGAGTGAGGAGAAGAAAATAAGGAAAAAGAAAGATCAATATGTAACTACTGGTATAGTTGTAGTACTGATCATACCTTATGTACTTGGAAGAGAATATCACTAAATCCTTGGGAAACTGTAAGCGAATCCGTACAACTGGTCTGTTTTTTACATGATATATACACAATCAAATGGCTTTGTTCTTATGAGTGTTATTTTTCATATCAATATTGACTGAGTTTGCTGTTTGAGGTTATTGTTTGAAACTAACACTCGAGAAGGAAGAGGCTGGAAAAGAGTTAAAAGGACGAACTCTGGAACAGTATAAGCAGGGTTTTTACAAGAAATACAAGCTTGTACTGAATGATAAGAAAGTTTCTGTGGAACTCAGATGTACCAAAAGTTACAGTTGAAACCAAACTTTGCTTCTTCTTCTTCCCCCTTTTACCATATAAGAACCCATAATATCATAGGCAAGAGGAGTTCCAGCTTGCGTCGACTGCTCTGATTATTTTGTCATGAAGGTTGGCTCCAGCACAAGCGATGACTCCTCGGTCGAGGCCTTCTAAATACATGCCTTTCGAGAAGTTGAGTGGACGGCCTCTCGCATCTGTGACTACACCACCAGCTTCTTGTATGATAACCACACCGGCTGCATGATCCCATATCTTCTCCTTGTAACCAGCCCTTGCAAACTTCATGAAGATTTCAGCATCACCACGAGCTATGGCTGCATATTTCACCATGCTGTACACTCTCAATGGTTGGCTCCTACACTCAAAACACGACATGTTATCGTTTTCTTTTAGCTTAACTCAGACCCCTTCAAATGCCTAAACAGAATAGAAAATCATATGTACCTAAGTCCAACGCTATGAGCAAGCCCTGCAGTGAATGAATGGCTTGAATTTGCTTTCTCAACTGGTTCGCAGAATGTAGCCAATGCTGGATCATCAATGGTGGACACTTGAATTGGTATAGCAGAGTTAGGCCATACCAATTTCTTAGTTTCATGAACCAGTGGTTGCATCCAAGCCTCACCGCTACCTTTCTGGGCATAAATCACACAACCTTTGTCCCAAGAATCTGATGTTGTAGCTGATAATTTGGTTATGATTCTATGGTAGCGAGGATGGTAACATAGCCATTCCTTCTTCATTGGGTAATTTGGACATCCCAGAACCCCCAGCACCACTTCTCCATCTTCTATCAATGCTAGAGCTATAGCATATTGATCACCACGTATAAACCCCAAGGTGCCATCCACAGGGTCAAGTGTCCAAAATTTTCCAGTCGAACCGCCGGAAGAGTTGCATCGGCTGATGGCTTCAAGAACCTCGGAAGAACAGAGGGTTCTTTCTGGATCTTCCAATCCAAAACGATGTGCCTCACAAAGACACTCGTTTACAGTTTCCACAACAGCTTTCAACAATCGGTCTGCCCCAGGCTTGGAAAGAGTTTGAACATCCTCCTCAGCAACAATTGATACATTTTTACTCCCAAAAGATTTTGACAGAATCCAGCTGATAATTGCCTGAACGCTCCAATCTGTTCGAGAAAAAATTCCAATACTAGAACGCTATATATGTCTACCAACAAAAAGGATGAACGCAACGCAATAGACAATCGAAACCCATCTCTTAAATGGACGAGTAAAGCACAATGAAGAGAAAACAATGAAATTACCAGCTACAGTAACAGGGGAATTGTCATCCTTGGCTTGAATTTGGGCATTGTTCTTAAGCAAGTTGCTCTGAACTCTTTGACAAAGAAAGCAAGCCATCTGAACAGCTCCGACGGCGACTTTAAGTTCTTGAGAAAGTGATTCCGGCCCAGAAATCAAAGGACCGACCCTTTTCTGGTCTTCCATTATGGACGAAGAAGAAGAAACAGACGAATACGTTCGATTAGGGGAAGAAGTATGGATGTGGGTGGAAGGGAAGAAGAAGGAACATTTAAAACCTGCATAGTTGGGTAGGGAACAGCTGCTCCTTCCGCTCAAACCGAACCCATGTGGAAGTTTAGCAGCCAAAATTGCAGTATATAAGGGCATAATAGCAGTGGATTGTAGAGATTGGTGACGTTTCAAGTTGGAAGGGGGAGGAATTGAAAAAGAGGGGAAAACGCAAAGGAAAAGGACGGATTGAAGGAGACGGTAAGATGAGTTTAATGGGTTAGGTACTTATAGTTTCATACTTCACCTCTTATAATGCCTAATATTGCAGAGCTTTATTGGAAGAACAGAGAAATTTCCGACGAATTAGTGTGATCCGTTGCCATGAACGCTCAATTGGAAACACACACCCCACCTTCAACATGCAACTCTTACATCACGGAACGCTCAATTGGAAACACACAACCCACCTTCAACATGCAACTCTTACATCATGCTTACCCTAATAACTTTTTCTTTGTTTTTTAATTGAATTGAAGCAAAAAAAACAAATTTTGCAACAGAATTTCCATATGAATTAAGGATTAAGAATGGTTTCACACCCAATTCTATCTCGGTTGAAGAAAAAAAGGAAACATTCATTAGAGACACCCCCTCCAATCAATATGGGATTCCACAATTCATGGCGAGTGGCCTAGCTAGCAGATATGGTCTATTAGAAAGAGTTTTTCACGTCCTTAATAAGAAATGTTTAACTAATGTGAAATTTTCATTGCTCTCCAATTCATATGAGATCTTACCAGAAACCTAAACTTTAATATTTGTTAATAGTAGTTTAGGCTCTGACTCTCTAAGTCTAATTCTTATGTTGAGTTTAAAAAAGAATATATATATATATATATATATTCTATTTGTTGGAACATGTTTATACTCCAAACAAAAATCGAGAGTGCTTGTCATATATCGAAGAATTTTCTTTTTTGCAATAAATAAATGAACTTCACATGACTTGACTTGTCTATAATTTGAGCAACACCACCAAAAGAACAAGAGATATCCGACCTTATGATAGTTAAATAAATTAAAGTACCAACAAGTAGTCGAAAAAGATCGATTTTGACATGTATGATCAATAATCAAAAGAATCAATAAACTCGTTGAATGAATATACATGTCACGATGTGAACCCATAAAATTTAAGATATTGAGCAATCTTATCGTCCTACAATTTCTTCTCAAAACATCACACATAAATTGAAATAGGTAGTTATATATAATAAAAGATTATACAGCATAAATTCGCGGTTCTAATAAAAACAAAATAAAGAATAAATACTTTTTCTTCTTTTGGAAATAGATATTTTTAAAATTTTAAAATAAAAATAATAATAATAATAAATTGTTATCCTTGAATATAATAAGTGGATGGAAATGCCCATCACTCAATCTTTTCGAAATATCTTTTATAAAATTCCTTCCTTAAAAAAAATAATAATAATAATAAAATATATATATATATATATATAATTTTTTAAATTCAGTGGATATAGTAATGATTTGATTAAACTATATATTATAGACATTAATTTAGGTACATTAAACTATTTTAAGTAAAGTTATGAAAATTATGAATACATCCCTATGGTCAAACTGTGTGAACTGTTACAATTATTGGCTAATATTAAAATGCGTTGTCAAATTAATCAAATTGAGGAGCCGAATCCTCCTTTAGGGTTTTCAGAAAAAACCCGGTTCAAAAGCATGGCCAACCGGACCCCACCTTTGGCCAATCGTTCCATTACAATTGGCAACCTTGAATCGAAGTAATCCTCTGCCGACATAAACGACATTAATTAGGGTTTTCATTTGTTTTAATAAAAAACTAATTTTTGTTTAAGAGTTTCTTAATATTGATTAATGATATTATTTACTTATTGTTAATGTGCATTACATGAATTACATACCTGACAAAGTCATGCCAGCTTCAACCCCTTCGTATGCCCACGTGCAAGCTAATTTTATACTCTCCTCAGCCCAACTAATTTCACACACAAAAATTAATAATAATAATAATAATAATAATAATAATAATAATAAGCATCCTTAAAATAAATAAATAAAACATACTTGTTTATGCATGAATTAACATTAACACAACGCTCCCATGTCGGAACATTATCGCTCCAAATTCCCTACCAAAATTGACACTTAATATTAAAAAAAATAAAAACTTCAAATTTATTTTGTGGTAATTAATGAAAAATAATTGTATTAATTAATAATTACATGGGTTAAATTCCTTTGTAGGTCTTCTAGGAGGAGGCCTGTGTCCTTGTCGTAGTAATCTGCCAGGGCTGTAAGAATAATTTCCCTATCCCATACCTGCATCCCTCCAATTTTCTTTTATTATTATTATTATTAAATAAATATTTTACCTTTTATTTTTGTAAAAAAATTAACTGGAAATTCGACAAGAATTACTTGTAATTAAATATGTGTTTAGGTCTTACATGGTGCAGGTTGGACTTGTGGCGGTACCACCGTAACTCTATGGTGTTCCCTCCCTCATCGCTCGTGAATCCCACGTGCAGTGGCTGAAAATTAATAAATTAAAAAATTAATTAACATTAACATAATTAATTAAAATTAACATTTTTTTTTTCAATGACTTTACCTGATGAATATCCCCAACGAAGTGCGACAAAAACAGTAACGCTTCCGTCAAGTTATCTGCAAAAACCAATAAAGAAAGAAACCGCCGTCTTTAAAAATATATTATCGGATTCGGGTCAGAATACGGGTCGGGTGACTTACTTTTAGCGTCGGGGCCTTGTTTTGGGAAGGCAGTGAGCTGAGTGGTGAAATTCCGAATGGCACCGGCGACGCACATGTTGAGCTGGGCGGCAGTGTTATGGCAATCCCCTGAAGAAAACGCAGCGTTTTAATTGAATAATGGAAAGAAGAAGATTTTTGGTTTACAGGAAAAGGAAAAGGAGGGAGATACTTTTGTAGAGGAAAGAACAGGCATTGTCCGGCGTGTTGATGTAGTGAAGGGGACTGGTCCACCGGTATTTAGACCAGCGTCGGATTTGGTCAGCCCATACACACATGGCCGAGAGATTCCCGCCGGCGCTTTCAGGTAGCAGAGCTTGAACTGCCTCTGTTGCCTCTGGATTCAGGAGCTCCTGGGCAATTTGACATGTTAGGACATGGCCTTCTTTGCTCCATCCTTGAGCACTAGGCAGGAGAAGGAAGGTAAAACAGAGCAAAACCAGAAATCTAAAGAGCCACATTTTTGTTCCAGATCAATGGCGAACGGAAAGTTGGGTTATAAATATAAAATATAAATATATGCAGATAAAGCACGCAGTTGTATTGTATTGTAATTGTATTATTATAAGAGGTGTTGTTTGAGTGCAAGCAATTGGGTTGAAATATTGGCTCATTTTTAAAGCACCACAAACCTGTGACGCCAAGCAAGTTGGGGGAATTTTATTAAGCCCTCAAACAGATGCTCACTAGTTTTGCTTTATCTTTAAGAGTTGGGGAGTTGGGAGTATTATGCTCGTAGAATTCGATCATACTCATAATCTAAGTTTGATCTTGACTTAGAAAAATATGTTTAACCCATGCAAATCGAACGTTCTTTGTTGGGAGTTAAGGGGAAGGAAAGAGGCTCCTAACTAAAGGTAGTTTGTCTCATCTTTCAATTGAGAATAAAGTGGAGAGCAGCTATGTAACGCGTGAGAATCTATCGAATTATTCGGACCAAATCCTAAATCAAACAAAAAAGGGTTGTGTTGATGAGATTGCATAGTATTAGGTTGTTGGTTAGGTAAAGGTTGACCAAACTAATGATGCTTAGCTGATCCTTTCCAATGATCAGCCACACTGAGTGAAGAAGGGCAATGCCGCTTGTAAAGCTCTTTCATCGAGTGCACGATCATGACAAAGACTCTAGGAAGAAACCCCGACTAACTCCGTGCCAACAGCCTCGGTAAGACACGAGGTGAGTAGGGAGGGGAGGGGGCAAGTGTTCTTCCAGATATATAGGCACTCAAACAAGTTGAAATGAAGCATTAAGAATATTTTTTATAATTTAATTTTCTTTAATTTGATATCTACTTTTTGTTTTCAAAATTAAAAAAAAAAAAAATCATTTGTTTAATACTTCCTTTAATTAATAAAAGTTTGATCTAGAATAAATGTGAAATTCATAGTAAAAAAAAGAATGGGAAAACAATCTTAATTTATATTAAAAATAATTAAATCCCTAAAATAAAATTGTGTGATACACCAAATTGTGCTAAAATTAGTCTGACACAGTTTGTCAAAGCTTCCATAAAATTTAATGGTTAAAAAAGTCGGATTAAAATTTGTGTATTAAAATTTACCGTCACCTGTCATTCATGGGACCGCTGCTGAACAATTCCTGGGTCAATCTCCTTCGTCTTCCCCATTCTTTGTAATTTGATCGGCGCGCCACTCGGGGGCAACTTTCCGCTGTAAAGGAGCAGAACCAACTGCAACGAACCATTCCGATTCGAAGTGAGTAATCAAAACTTTTTATCTTATCTATTCATGTTAACTACAACTTCGGCTAGATCGCAATGAATCTCAAAGTCTAGGCTAGTTCTAAGCTTCAGTTGGCCCCTCACCCCCAAAATCCCAAATACTGATCGCCGAAAGTGAAACCTTCCTTGATTTTGCGTAATTTCGTTAACTTTGCCCTCCAATTTGCTTTAAATTATCCATAAGCTCGAAACCGAGAATTTGAAGCTGTACGGTGTATATTCTCCAAGGGCATAAATTTGTGTTTCTATTTGTTTCTGCAGTTCAGATTGTTTATGTTGATAGCACATGTTGAGTTATTTTAAGAACGCAAATAGCCATAATTAGTAATTAGGTTGAACGGTATTTGTCATTGTTGCTGATTCTAGGAACTGTTTTCCCAATATCATTTAGAAATCAAGTTAAAACGACCGTATGTGGCATTTAGCTTAATATAAGTATATTGATTTTCCTATGTTCTTTTTGCAGATTCTTCCATAGGTTTTCTTTCTTCTGTGGAATAATGGATTTCGCCACTTTATCCACTTTGAATCCTGAACAGCTGACTGTATTAGGATCTGGATTCTGCGTGATGTTGACAATGCATTACACTGTGCAGTTATTATCTCAGCATCTCTTTTACTGGAAGAACCCTAAGGAGCAAAAGGCCATAGTAATTATTATATTAATGGCTCCCTTATATGCAGTTGACTCATTTGTGGGTTTGCTACATATCAAGGGGAGCAAGGAATTCTTCATGTTCTTAGACTCTGTTAAGGAATGTTATGAAGCTTTGGTGAGTTTCTTCAAAAATGGTTTAATTTCACTTTGCCGTGTGCCCACTCTAGTTGAGTTAATAATAATTGCCTCTTGCCTGTATGTGTGTTGAATGTCAGGTAATTGCTAAGTTCTTGGCTTTGATGTATAGTTATCTGAATATATCGATGAGCAACAATATTATACCGGATGAAATCAAAGGAAGAGAGATTCATCATTCGTTTCCAATAACACTATTTCAGGTACAAAAATGGAATGTATTGAGTTGGAATAAGCAGTTATCACTGGGATCAATTGGATCAATTGGATTCCATTTTCCTTTCTATTGGGGCTTTAGGACATCGTACCAGCGCTTTCTTCTTGATCTTTTCTATTCGTTCTTTCATATTCCTTAACTTTTATTTGTGATAAAACTTGCAGCCTCAAACTGTCCGTTTGGACCATCGACAACTATTACTTCTCAAGCATTGGACATGGCAATTTGTTGTCATCCGCCCTGTTTGCTCTATTTTGATGATAACACTGCAACTATTGAGAATGTATCCTAGCTGGTTAAGATGGACGGTTACCATCATCCTTAACATTTCAGTTTCTCTGGCAATGTACTCTCTGGTTGTCTTCTACCATGTTTTCGCCAAGGAGCTTAAACCACACAATCCATTGGCCAAGTTCATGTGCATTAAAGGGATTGTATTCTTCTCCTATTGGCAGGTAAAACGGCTAATTCAGAGCTTTTTCCATGAATAAGCAAGCTTGCATATATTTTTTTTAATCACTCCCCAAAATAACCTTCCCCCAAGAGAAGTGGTGAATAATATGATAATGAGAATATCAAATGCAGCACTAAGTGCGAGATCCTATATCGATTGGAAAGAGGAATGATGTCAACAAGGATGTTGGGTCTCAAAAAGGATGTTGGGTCTCAAAGGGGGTGGATTGTGAGATCCCACATTGGTTGGAGAGGAGAACAAAACATTGTTTATAAGCGTGTGGAAACTTCTCCCTAGCAGACGCGTTTTAAAAACTTTGAGGGGAAGCTCGAAAGAGAAAGCCCAAAGAGGACATTATCTGCCGGCGGTGAGGTTTGGGTGGTTGGGTGGTGAGGTTTGGATGTTACACTAGGGTTGAGGACAAAGAAGCTTTTTTCTTTTTTTTGGCAAGTTTAGGACCAGGAAGCCATTGTTTGGAGTTCCAACTTTCTTTTGAGCGCATGTTTCTTTCTGCCCTTGTGCCTGTACCAGTATTTTTTTTTTTTTTTCCAAGTATCGTTGACTTTTCCTTAAATTATGGATGCTGAAGGTAATGTGCAACCAACTTATATCAGATAACCCGTCGACTAAGATTCATAATGAACTTTTAGCACTGACGCAAATGCACTCGAGTCAGTAGGATACAGAATTTTGTTATTTTCAGCAGAACCTAGTTCTTTCCAATAGTTTCATCCATTGTCGGTATACCTACTTTTGGCATCTAATTGTTTTAATTTGTCTCTATTCTCTGAATCCCACGTGTACTGTTAAGGAATATGAACAATTTCCTGTCTTCTGTCCTTCATTGAATTTGTTTCTGTAATTTGTTACTGTTCTTAACTTCATCATGACATGCCATCCATTGTTCAGGGTGTGGTGCTAGATATACTTGTTGCACTGGGCATTATTGGGTCAACCCACATCTGGTTAGACGTTGAGCAAGTCGAAGAGGCGTTCCAGAATGTGTTGATATGTTTAGAGATGATTGTGTTCTCTGTTTTTCAGCAGTATGCCTTCCATGTTGAACCTTACAGTGGAGAAGTTGAAAGAATACTGAAAATGAAAAAGAACGATTAACGTTGGAAGTCGGTTTGATGAAAATCTTTGACAGAGAAATGAGTTGAAGTTAGTATTTGATGAGTGTTCTATGTCTGAACGGTATTTATGAACCTTGTGGAAGATCTGTTCCTTGCTCACTTTCAGTCTGGTTGTCTTCAACAGAAGTTGAAAAATGTATACTCAAGGAAAGCAGAATCGAGACTTAGACAATTCTTGAATACGTGGAAATGGCCCCTGAACCATTTGTGGCCACCTATCGGTGTTAAGAATCACGACTCTCCATAGTGATATGATATTATTTACTTTTAGCATAAGCTTTTCTGACTTTGTTTTTAGTTTCTCCAAAGGGCCTCATACTGATAGAGATAAGATTACTTATAAACTCACGATTCACTTAATAATTTCCTATTGGTAGCCGTGTTTTTATTATATGAAATTTGTTCGAATGAGAATGTGAATGAATGAAGAATTATTAGATATAGCTAGCTTGAACTGAAGCAAATTAATGAATAATTAGTAAACTAAAGCCTAAAATTAGGTCATCTCAAGAATTAATCCAAGCTGGCGGGGGAATATCCTCTTGTGGTACTGACGCGGACACGCGTCAGTCAATGGAAGCATGGACGGTGGGTCAGTTACGGCGGCAGTGCAATAGAATTAACTAGCTGGACAGGACCATCTACTTTGACGCCCCAAAAATAATAATAATTATTTTTTTTTTAAAACTCTTTTAATAATTTCCACATTTCGCCATTCGTGCCAGTTTCGTCCCCGGATAATGCTCCCTCAATCTCATCCGACGTGTCGTCACTGTCTATCTTCGTTGACAATTTTACCGGCAACCGGTTTATTGGGATTGTCGGTATGTTTTGTACTGCCATCTTTCAGCGGTTTGGTTAACAAACTATTTGTCGTCATTGCAAACCAATTTTGTTTCGATTTAAAGTGCTTTAATTAAAACGTCACTCACTGTCCTATTCCAATTACCTCTCGACTTATGGATAAAATTTATTATTACCACATTTATTTTTCAATGTTATATTTCATTATATTATATAATTTTTTTAAATTATAATATAGTCTTTTAACATTTTTTTTTAATTACAACATCATTAACTTAAATAATACCATTACTTTTATATTTTAAAAAAAGATTATATATATTAAATGAGGGGCGGACATGAGATGGAAACAAAATATAAAATTTCATGTCCGTCTCTATTTATCTAGCAAAGAAAAAAAACGTTGTTCACTCCTTTCCCAATTCTGTCTAAACGAAGAACCCGCATCTCATTCCTGGTGGGTTCCCACAGTATCCGACCCATCTCTAATAATATACGTGTCATTTTTAAATATTTAAATTTACCCAATTTTTTATTTTTTATTTTTTCTATTTTTTCTTCCTCCACAGCCATACACGAAGCTTCTTCCTCCTTTCAATCTCCTTTCACTCGAAACGAACTGATTTTAACCCATATTCTGTTCTCATTACTTCTTTTGCAAATTTAAATTTAAAGTTGTATTATTATATAATAACCAAATTTATATTTTCTTTAATTTTTTAAATATTAATTTACCTAATAACGAATTAATGCTAGCTTAACGAACAAGTAATTAAGTCAACCTGAAAGTCCAAACTGTTAATCCAAAATTAAAGTCAGATTGCTTCCATTTAAACGCGTAAAACATCAATTAATTTCATAAATTAAGTGATTAGATAAACATGTTTGTGTCAATTCATTTTGATTTTAAAAAATGCCTTAATTTTGGACCCATCAATTTTGGAGCAGATTCCGACATATCCGCGCTCGACCACAATATTTTCATAATAAATATACATGTAATTTTCACTTTTTTTCTCATTTATTATTTTAATGTTGTTTCAATTAATGCATGTAGTTGATTTTTCAAAAGGAAAATATATATTTTCACCTGTTTCAATATAATATTTAATTCCAAAACTTTATAATATTTACTATGAATTTTTATTTTCATTATTTATAAATGAAAAATTTTTAAAGGGGAAATTTTTAACCATTAAAATTATTTGTTTAATCTAATCTTAATATTTAATTTAAGGTATGGTAGAAAGTGGTTTACTATTATATATTAACACGACATTTCCTTTTAATTAATCAAAATTATTTGTTTAACCTAATCTGACCGCAATACGTGGAAATTCATTAACATTTTAATATAAAAGTCAACATTCTTCGAGGTTGACTTGAATGGACTTAACTAATTAACATGGCCCACGTGTACTTTCTTTTTCCTTTTTTGGTGAATATTTTAATTTTGATTAATTAAATCGTAGTATAATACACATTTTCAATTTTTAAGGCTGAGTTTAGTTACTTAATTAAGTTAAATAGTAGGGAGATGGTCAAACATTTGGTCTTAAAAATAATTTTTTTTTTTTTTACTAATAAAAAATAAAATGGATTTATGTTAGAGTATCTATAAGAATAAAAACTATCTTTATAGTATCATAAGTTTTTTTTTTTTTTTTGTTACTCACATGTTTTTAAATTTTTTTTTATAAAATATCATCGAACATAGAATTAATCCAAACTAAATACACTTAACTTTTAAGTTTATAGAATCGAGTCCCTAGTAATATAAGCGTAGCTTATTGGATGATGAAAGTTCCACATCAGCTAATTTAGGAAATGATCATAGGTTTATAAACAAATAATACTCTTTTCGTTGTTGTGAGGCATTTTGGGGAAGTCCAAAAGAAAGCCATGAGACAATATCATATCATCGTGAAGAGTTGTGTTTTATGTTTTAAATTCATGGATTTATTTGTATCAAATATTTAAGTGGATTTGAGATAATTAGAAAATATGGTGAATATAAGAATGATTAAATAAAATATATAAATAATTACAATTGTTGGATGATGAAAGTCCCACGTCGTTAATTTAGGGAATGGTCATGGGTTTATAATCTAAGAATACACTCGTTTATAATCTAAGAATAATTGAGGCCTTTTGGGAAGCCCAAAGCAAAGCCATGAGAGCTTATGCTCAAAGTGGACAATATCATACTATTGTGGAGAGTCGTGTTCGTCTAACAACAATGAGGTAAATCAACAAGAAAAAAAGAAAAGAAAAAGAAAATTATGATTCTGACATCTTTAAAAAAGTTTTTATTTTTATTTTTATTTTTAATAAAGAAGAAAGCTTATCCATTGAATGCATAGAATTGAATGAAGTCCGTGGTCGGCAGGGAGGGTCTTGTGCGGTGGCGGAAGCAGTGGCACATGTGTGAGGGCACGGAGGAAGGCCATGGCGGAACCGGAGGGCCACCGCTTCAGGATCCTGGAACAGCCACCGGGAGTAACGGTCAATTAAACGACCGTTGAGGATGGGGATATCTTTATGAATATACTAAAATAATAATAATATTAAAAAAAAAAAAAAAAAAAA